TGGGGACTTGATATTGTGCGTCACATAGGTCTTCCACGTCTCTCCTGCACCTTTGTATTCTCCGCTTGTGTTAAACCTTTCATATAAGCCCCGGACCGTGGTCGAGGGGCGCAGGGGGGTGTGGTCGAGGGCCGCAGGGGGCTGTGGTCGAGGGCCGCAGGGGGGTGTGGTCGAGGGCCGCAGGGGGGTGTTTCGCTGCAGGCCCAAAGGGAAACGTTTCCTACAGGAATAACTCCCTCTGTCCTGACCCTCGCTCTCACAGTGATTGCAATAATACTTCAGACATTCAAGAATCAGACTTTATTTAATCGCCAGAACACACACACAAACACACACACACAGACACACACACACTTGTATCTAGCATGGCACCAGTCGCTCTGCTCGTACGTCACACTTTTCATTCTCATTCATTAATTTCTCAGCGCTCTTACTCTCGTTACTAAAGAGTGTGTGTGCACTTGTGTCCCCGGCGCACACACACACAGACACACGTGTGCGCACACATGTTACCCACTGAACTGCTGCACTTTGCATCAAAGCAATGTGGACAACTGTCAGATGTGTCTTTCCCTAAACAACACCATCCGTACTGAACCGTTAGCTACAGTAGCAGTTAGCTACAGTAGCTATTAGCTACAGTAGCTATTAGCTACAGTAGTTGTTAGCTACAGTAGCAGTTAGCTATGTATGACCTAAACCAACATGTATGACCCAAACAAACATGTATGAACAAACAAACATGTATGACCCAAACAAACATGTATGACCTAAACAAACATGTATGACCCAAACGAACATGTATGATCCAAACCAACATGTATGATCCAAACAAACATGTATGACCCAAACAAACATGTATGACCTAAACAAACATGTATGACCTAAACTAACATGTATGACCCAAACAAACATGTATGACCTAAACAAACATCTATGACCCAAACAAACATGTTTGACCTAAATGAACATGTATGACCTAAATGAACATGTATGACCTAAACAAACATGTATGACCTAAACTAACATGTATGACCCAAACAGACATGTATGACCTAAACAAACATGTATGACCCAAACAAACATGTATGACCCAAATGAACATGTATGACCCAAACAAACATGTATGACCCAAACAAACATGTATGACCCAAACAAACATGTATGGCCCAAACGAACATGTATGACCCAAACAAACATGTACGACCCAAACAAACATGTATGACCTAAACAAACATGTATTACCCAAACAAACATCTATGACCTAAACGAACATGTATGATCCAAACAAACATGTATGACCCAAACAAACATGTATGGCCCAAACGAACATCTATGACCTAAACGAACATGTATGATCCAAACAAACATGTATGACCAAACGAACATGTATGGCCCAAACGAACATGTATGACCTAAACAAACATGTATGACCCAAACGAACATGTATGACCCAAACAAACATGTATGACCCAAACGAATATGTATGACCCAAACAAACATGTATGACCCAAACAAACATGTATGACCCAAACGAATATGTATGACCCAAACAAACATGTATGACCCAAACAAACATGTATGGCCCAAACGAACATGTATGACCTAAACAAACATGTATGACCAAACGAACATCTATGACCTAAACAAACATGTATGACCCAAACAAACATGTATGACCCAAACAAACATGTATGACCTAAACGAACATGTATGATCCAAACAAACCTGTAAGACCTAAACGAACATGTATGATCCAAACAAACATGTATGACCTAAACGAACATGTATGACCTAAACAAACATCTATGACCTAAACGAACATGTATGATCCAAACAAACATGTATGACCAAACGAACATGTATGGCCCAAACAAACATGTATGACCTAAACAAACATGTATGACCCAAACGAACATGTATGACCCAAACAAACATGTATGACCCAAACAAACATGTATGGCCCAAACGAACATGTATGACCCAAACAAACATGTACGACCCAAACAAACATGTATGACCTAAACAAACATGTATTACCCAAACAAACATCTATGACCTAAACGAACATGTATGATCCAAACAAACATGTATGACCCAAACAAACATGTATGGCCCAAACGAACATCTATGACCTAAACGAACATGTATGATCCAAACAAACATGTATGACCAAACGAACATGTATGGCCCAAACGAACATGTATGACCTAAACAAACATGTATGACCCAAACGAACATGTATGACCCAAACAAACATGTATGACCCAAACGAATATGTATGACCCAAACAAACATGTATGACCCAAACAAACATGTATGACCCAAACGAATATGTATGACCCAAACGAACATGTATGACCCAAACAAACATGTATGGCCCAAACGAACATGTATGACCTAAACAAACATGTATGACCAAACGAACATCTATGACCTAAACAAACATGTATGACCCAAACAAACATGTATGACCCAAACAAACATGTATGACCTAAACGAACATGTATGATCCAAACAAACCTGTAAGACCTAAACGAACATGTATGATCCAAACAAACATGTATGACCTAAACGAACATGTATGACCTAAACAAACATCTATGACCTAAACGAACATGTATGATCCAAACAAACATGTATGACCAAACGAACATGTATGGCCCAAACGAACATGTATGACCTAAACAAACATGTATGACCCAAACGAACATGTATGACCCAAACAAACATGTATGACCCAAACGAATATGTATGACCCAAACGAACATGTATGACCCAAACAAACATGTATGACCCAAACGAATATGTATGACCTAAACAAACATGTATGACCAAACGAACATCTATGACCTAAACAAACATGTATGACCCAAACAAACATGTATGACCCAAACAAACATGTATGACCTAAACGAACATGTATGATCCAAACAAACATGTAAGACTTAAACGAACATGTATGATCCAAACAAACATGTATGACCAAACGAACATGTATGGCCCAAACGAACATGTATGACCTAAACAAACATGTATGACCCAAACGAACATGTATGACCCAAACAAACATGTATGACCCAAATGAATATGTATGACCCAAACGAACATGTATGAGCCAAACAAACATGTATGACCTAAACGAACATGTATGATCCAAACAAACTTGTAAAACCTAAACGAACATGTATGATCCAAACAAACATGTATGACCTAAACGAACATGTATAATGAGGGGGGGTGGGGACTTGATATTGTGCGTCACATAGGTCTTCCACGTCTCTCCTGCACCTTTGTATTCTCCGCTTGTGTTAAACCTTTCATATAAGCCCCGGACCGTGGTCGAGGGCCGCAGGGGGCCGTGGTCGAGGGCCGCAGGGGGCCGTGGTCGAGGGCCGCAGGGGGGTGTGGTCGAGGGCCGCAGGGGGGTGTTTCGCTGCAGGCCCAAAGGGAAACGTTTCCTACAGGAATAACTCCCTCTGTCCTGACCTTCGCTCTCACAGTGATTGCAATAATACTTCAGACATTCAAGAATCAGACTTTATTTAATCGCCAGAACACACACACAAACACACACACACAGACACACACACACTTGTATCTAGCATGGCACCAGTCGCTCTGCTCGTACGTCACACTTTTCATTCTCATTCATTAATTTCTCAGCGCTCTTACTCTCGTTACTAAAGAGTGTGTGTGCACTTGTGTCCCCGGCGCACACACACACAGACACACGTGTGCGCACACATGTTACCCACTGAACTGCTGCACTTTGCATCAAAGCAATGTGGACAACTGTCAGATGTGTCTTTCCCTAAACAACACCATCCGTACTGAGCCGTTAGCTACTGTAGCTGTTAGCAGTAGCAGTAGCAGTTAGCTACAGTAGCTATTAGCTACAGTAGTTGTTAGCTACAGTAGCAGTTAGCTACAGTAGCAGAATGTAAAAAGAAAGAGAAACGGAAACTCAACCAGAACAACGAGGTCGTTGCTGGAGTTAGTATTAGCGCCACCAGCTGGACCGAGCATTGCACTACAGGACAATTTCTCTGGCAACGTTTGCAAGTACACGTTCATGTGACCGCGGGCCGTTTTCACACCCCTGTGGCGACTCTTCGGGCCACTTGGCCCAGTTCGTTTGTAAAAACCTCTGTGACCGTGCCCTTATATAAACATGTATTACCCAAAACCCACCGCTGTAGTTTTCTGGCAACACCCTGGAGACCGGGCCTGGAGACCGGGCCTGGAGACCAGGCCTGGAGACCGGGCCTGGAGACCGGACCTGGAGACTGGACCTGGAGACCGGGCCTGGAGACCGGGCCTGGAGACTGGGCCTGGAGACCGGACCTGGAGACCAGGCCTGGAGACCGGGCCTGGAGACCAGGCTTCGAGCTTCTGAGTGCAGGGTTATCTTCTGTCTCACACTGACCTCGAGGCTTCACCAAGTCCCTGATGACTCTGTGATCACCGCTGTCTCAGCTGAACCCTCACACACAGGGCTAGGGTTTGGAATCCTGACCCTAATTCTTTATAATATTTATGTAATATAATTGTGAGGAACATTACTGTGTCTGTGAGTCCTGGGTCTGTGAGTCCTGGTCTGTGAGTCCTGGGTCTGTGAGTCCTGGGTCTGTGAGTCCTGGGTCTGTGAGTCCTGGTCTGTGAGTCCTGGGTCTGTGAGTCCTGGGTCTGTGAGTCCTGGTCTGTGAGTCCTGGTCTGTGAGTCGTGGGTCTGTGAGTCCTGGTCTGTGAGTCCTGGTCTGTGAGTCCTGGTCTGTGAGTCCTGGTCTGTGAGTCCTGGGTCTGTGAGTCCTGGTCTGTGAGTCCTGGGTCTGTGAGTCCTGGTCTGTGAGTCCTGGTCTGTGAGTCGTGGGTCTGTGAGTCCTGGGTCTGTGAGTCCTGGTCTGTGAGTCCAGGTCTGTGAGTCCTGGTCTGTGAGTCCAGGTCTGTGAGTCCTGTTACACTTAAGTTGAAAACATGTTCTTCTCTGTTTCATGTAGGTCCTGTTTGTCTCCGGTTAATGAAGTTCAAACGGACCTGGAACTAGACTTGGACCCAAGAAGCCCCAGTCCCCCCAAACCAGGCCAGAGACCAGGCCAGAGACCAGGCCAGAGACAACAGAAATCCATACCACAGCACTTGGACCCACGAGTCATCTCCAACCATTACATCCCGACAAACCCTCCGGTCCAGACCTGGTCTGGCTCTAATCCTGAGTCAAACCCTATGGTCCAGACCTGGTCTGGCTCTAATTCTCAGTCAAACCATCCAGTCCAGACCTGGTCCGGCTCTAATCCTGAGTCAAACCTTATGGTTCAGACCTGGTCTGGCTATAATCCTGAATCAAACCCTCCAGTCCAGACCTGGTCTTCCATCTCGAGACTTCCATCTCAGTCTGGGTTCATCCAGACCAACCCAGGAGGTCAGTCTCACTCCGATCTCAGGTCTGAGCCAAAGGTAGCCCCTCTGTTTGAATGTTCCAGGTTTTTGTTTGATGAAGAACTGAGCCTGTCTTTGATTTGTCCTGTTTATGCTCAGAACCAGACCGTAGTCCAACCCCGGCCCACAATAGTCCAGCCCCAGCCCACAGTAGTCCCAGTCCCCATGAGTCCGTACCCTTACTTCTGTACAGACCCTTCACTTCCCCAATCCCACCCATCCATTCAGCAGCAACAGCACCCTGACCCAAGACTAATCTCCCGCCACTACGTCCCACCAAACCCTCCGGTGTTGACCTGGACCGGTCCTAACCCTCAGCCAAACCTGGTTCCAAAGACCTTCACAGAACCAGGTCTGGACTGTACTGCAAAATTCTCCGTCCAGATACAGACCAAAGACCCGGTTTCAGAAAGACAGCGTGAAGTGAACCGGCTGTCTGGGATTTTCCCTGAAGTCCAAACCAACTACAGACCAGGACCCCTCCCTACGCAACATGTTCCAGACCCAAGTCCAGGTTTTCAACTGGTCCCGAAACTCCCAGACCCAGATTTCAACCCAGACTTCAACTCAGACCAACCGTTTTTCAGCGATGAAAGTGCGGCTCCGCAGTCCTGGTCCAAACCAGCTCCAGCTCTTATAGGACATTACTCTCAGACTAAACAAATCCTGCCAGAGTCCAAGACATTTACCTCAAAAGCCACTTTCTCAGTTTCAATCCAAGATCTAACCTCCGTCAACAATAAAACCAATAGAAACAGTGACTTTCACACAGACAGAACCAGACCAAACCCAGACCTGAAACCTGGTTCAGATCCGGCAAAGATCCACTTACAAAGTCTTGGATTAGCAGCACATAATCCCGGTCCAATGTCAAATGGAATACATGAACAATATGTTGAGTCCAGACCCAGTCCTGTACCCGAGAAAGTGGATCTTAAGAAAAACAACTCATTTATGGAAAGTTCTAAACCAGAAGTCAATGTCAATGTCCACAAAAGTCCAGAAATAAGATGCAACTTTGGATCAGAACAAGGATTACTGTTCCATCCTCTTCATGGGAAAATGACTGAACCAGGACCAGAGGCTGTTCAGAGGTTGGTAAAGAAGTCTAAGTCTGGACTAAGTCTTGAGAAGACTCAACCCGGTCTGGAGTCAGGAAAGGTGTTCTACACAAGCCCCGTCAGACTTCAAGAGTTTCCTGGTGATTCTAATGAGTTCAACCAGTTTGTGTCAACGACAAAAAACAAGGAGAATATGCACAAAGAAACTCAAAATAAAAACATAAACGTAGTTGAAGCCGTCACGCTCAGGTCCAGAGAGGTTCAGGCTGAGCTGAGTCCAGAGACCACCGAGAATCAGCACAATTTCATTAAAAAACAAATATCTAGGTTTGAAAAATGTTCTGTGGAAGAAACAGTGAACGTCACCGATGGTTTCACAATATCTCACACTCAAAACCAAAAAGTCCAGAGAAACCCAGAGCAGCCACAAACCAGAACCAAACCTGGTCGAGATTATCAGGGGTCTTTCCCGAAACGTCCCACATTCCTCACACTGCCCATAGAGTCCAGTCCCAGTCTAAAACCGGACCTGAATCCAGCTTTGAGGACTCTTAGTGTCTCCAGTCTTAGCCCTGCTCCGATCCAGGTCTCAGAACTGAGAACAGCCAGTGTCTTTTCTCTCAGCCCCTTGAAGGCCAGTTTAGACGCAAGTCCTCGGACTCAAGTCTTCAGTCCTACAATAGTCCGGAATCAGTCCTGCCTCAGTCCAGGTCTTGGACCATACCAGGTCTCAGAGGCCAGAAAGTCCCTATCCTCCATCCTTGAGTCCCAGATCAAGAATTCCAACAACCACCGGCCTAAATCCTATTACGGACTCACGCCATCTCAGTATGAAGCCTTTGGAGGGATCAAGTCCAAGACCCAAGACCCTAGGCCTAATGACATCCATCCCCAAGACCCTAGGCCTAATGACATCCATCCCCAAGACCCTAGGCCTAATGACATCCATCCCCAAGACCCTAGGCCTAATGACATCCATCCCCAAGACCCTAGGCCTAATGACATCCACCCTCAAGACCCTAGGCCTAATGACATCCATCCTCAAGACCCTTGCCCTAAGAATTATGAGAACCATATCCCTGACCCCTTCAAACCTGAGACTGAACCAGGACTAAAGGAAGACTCACTGAAACCTCAAAACAAACCAGAACTTAAGGAAGACTCTTTGCAACCTGGAATCGAACCAGGACTTAAGGAAGAAATGTTTGAGACTGAGGCAAAAGCCAGAATCAGATCACTGGAGCTTCTCAAAGACTCCGCAGGTGAGAGACCAGGTTCAGACTCGACTAAGACCTCTGACAGAAACCTGAACAAAGCCAGAACAGGACCAGACCAGGTGTTCGGGGGAAAGGTACTAGGCAAAACAAACCCAGAACCAAGACCTCAGAAACATGCAGAGAAAGTGAAGAAGTTAGACACAGTTATGGGTTCCTCCAGGGCTCATGTGGGGACAGACTTGACTCAGACTTGGATTTGTGATGGTTTGAATCCTAATCGCCATAGGTTAGAAAGAAACCTTGAACCAATTTGGAACAGTTTAATGAACCCAGTTTTAACGTCGGTACTGACCACAAACCCATCACTGACCACGGCCTCGGCAGTGACTTCTGCAGCTGACTTTAGAGTAGAAGACCCAGTGAAGTCTGTACCTACACTCGGACCCTGTGACTTCAACCAGACCAGCCCCCAGTTTAGCCGAGCAGTGGCAGATTCTCAACCTGAGGGAGACCGTACAGTTTGTGATGTTCAAACAAGCCCAGAGGTAGAGTTTGGACTCAGACTAGAACCACAAACCTGCACGGAAGAATTGAAGTATGAATATTCTGGTACTGAAGTAAATTGTGAATTAGGAACTCCCTTTCGTTCAAGTTTTAGAAACGGGACTGGTTTTGTGGACTTTGACTATGGACCTTCAGCAGATTTACAGGATACTATTCAACAATTGAGGCAAGAGACTGAACTTATGGACCCAGACTGGGAAGAAGGATCTGAATCTGGTTTAAGACTAGGAATTGAGACTCTATCAAGCCATGTATTGAAAAGCATAGAGTTTGATGGGCTAGACCTTGAACCCAGACTTGAGACTTGTAAAACAGTCTCAGGATTAGAACCAGAGGGACCATGTACTGGATTGGGGACTGGACTAGAGACAGGACTAGAGTCTGTAATAGGGAACGGACCAGAGATTGGACTGAGGTCTGGGCTGGAGACTGGAGTAGGGCCTAGACTAGATACGGGACTAGGGTCTGTACTAGGCACCGGACCAGAGATTGGACTGAGGTCTGGACTGGAGACTGGAATAGGGCCTAGACTAGAGACCGGACTAGGGTCTGTACTAGGCACCGGACCAGAGATTGGACTGAGGTCTGGACTGGAGACTGGAATAGGGACTGGACTTGACTCTAGACTAAAGACAGAACTCGCGCTTGGCTCAGTGATTGATTCTGGTTCTCTGCCTCAGGAACCAGACAAAGAAAAGTCTCTGTCATCTCTGCAAAAAACTGGACTAACCTCAGCTCAAAGCCCAATGAAGAACCCAAAGACGGATGGTCCCGGTCAGGTCTCAATGAAAACCGACCCAGACCAGACCAAGACCAGACAGAATACTTCCAAAGAGGCGGCTCTGAAATCCCGGCTCCGACTGAAAGAGACTTTGAAGGAAACCATGGAAAAGCTCGACAAGATCCTGGACAAAAAGGGACTAAAGAAGAAAATCCGGACTCAGGACTCAATCGAGACCATGGACTTGACAAGGACTGGCCTACAGGAGTCTCTACAGCAAATGAAGATGGACAAAACCCAATCACAGAAATCTCCAAACCAGGAACACCACCTCAAAGTGAAACAGACATTTGTGAAAGAGTTGGGTTCAGGACTAGACTTAGACCTCGAATTGGACTTGAACCAAAGCAGGTTCGAGGACACGATTGGATCTCATCCCAGAGAGAGTCCAGATGTTCTAATAGATTTGCAGTTCCACCGAATGGCGTTGGACGGACTAGAAACACCACAAGACTTAAACCAGGACTTGAACCAGGACAGGATCCAGAACAGACTCTGTCAGGAACCACTGGACACTGCTGTGGGACTGAACCAGGACTGGACTCAGACTGGACCCGAGCAGGGACATCTGAACACCCTTTTGGGCTTGAACCAGGACTACCCTCAGACTATTCATGGACAGGGACCTCTGGAAATCGTTGTGGACTTGAACCAGGACTGGACCCAGAACAGACTTGGTCAGGAACCACTAGACACTCTTGTGAGCTTGAACGAAGATTGGACCCAGACCAGACCCGGACTGGGACCACTGGACACCCAGACCAGACCCAGACAGGAACCACTGGAGACCCTCATGGACTTGAACCAGGACTGGACCCAGGACAGACTCAGTCAGGAACCACTGGACACCGGTGTGGGCTTCAACCAGGACAGGACTCAGACTGGACCCGAAAAGGGACCTCTAGACACCCTTGTGGGCTTGAACCAGGACTACCCTCAGCCTATTCCAGGACAGGGACCTCTGGAAAGCCTTGTGGACTTGAACCAGGACTGGACCCAGAACAGACTTGGTCAGGAACCACTAGACACTCTTGTGGGCTTGAACGAAGATTGGACCCAGACCAGACCCGGACTGGGACCACTGGACACCATTGTAGGCCCAAACAAGGACTGGACCCCGACCGAACCCCAACAAAGACCATTGGACAACCTTGTGGGATTGAACCAGGACAGACCAGAACAGGAACCATTGGACATCCTTGTGGGCTTGAACGACAACTGGACTCAGACTGGACTCGGACAGGAACCACTGGACACCCAGATCAGATCCAGACAGGAACTTCTGGACCCCCTTGTGAACAGTGGGATCAGCGCAGATGGACTGGGAGTGAATGGAAGTCTTTCGAAATCAGAGAAGACTCAGAAATTGGTTCAAAACACAGACACAAAGAGTGTGAGCGGCCTGACCAGGACCAAGACAGAACCAACGGAGAGCCCGGCGGACTTGAACCTGCACTGCATGGACTTAACTGGGCCAGACGACTTGCTATTACAATCAATGGACTCTCAAATGGGGGCGAAGTCCATGGAAGAGACCAGGAATCGGGACTGGACAGGACCAGATCAAAGCCAATCTACCGTCACATCAACAAATGCCTTTTCACAGGAAGATCAGAACCGGAAGGACTTAGAAACATGTGGAACTCTTCAGAACCAACTCCAGAACCAAGTCCAGAACCAAGTCCAAAACCAATTACAGAGCCAAGTACAGAGCCAAGTACAGAGCCAAGTCCAGACCACGACCAGGATTTCCCAGGTCTCCATGAGGTCAATGACATCACCTGCATCTTTGGCTGAAAGTCCAACAGGAAACTCTCGACTGCCTGAATCTTTGAGTTCTCATGAAAGAGACTCTTTTGAAAACCTTAGAAAACCTAGTCCAGACCCAGTCCCTGACCTTGTCACACTCCTGGACGAACCTAGCGAGGAAAAAAGACCCAGCCGAGGAAAGAAAACCGAAAAACTTATGCATTTACTGGAGAAGGCAAAGGCTGAATGTGAGAATCTTGAATCTAAAATCAGGACAAAATCTGCCAAAAGATTCCAAACAGAACCCGACCAGGTCTCCTCAGCGAAAGACAGAGTTCAAAGCAGAAGAAGGATCAAATCTGGGCCACCAAGAGAGACTAGAGCAGAGACCAGAGCAGAGACCAGACCAGAGACCAGAGCAGAGACCAGACCAGAGACCAGCTCAGGTCCAGACAAGATGCAAGAAGAATCTAAACCATTTCCCAAACTCGATACAATGATTTTAGATCCTGCTACTAACAATGCGAACAGTCCACTCCAAGATCCAGACACAGAGTCCAGACCAGAACCATTTAAAGGCCAAGAATCCAGATCAGATTCGAGATCAAGGCTAGAAGAACTCCAATTCCAGTCCTTTGGTCTCAGGGAAGAAGAGGTCTCTGTAGATTCTGCTGAAGATGAAGTGGAGGTGAAATCACAATTATGGCCAAACAAACAACAGTCTGAAGGTCTTTCTCAAAGCCAATACAATTACTTTAGTCCAAAGATAGATCTAGAGACCAGTTCAGATCCACTTAAAGTCCCGGAGTCCAGTCCAGATTCAGGAGACCTAAAGCAAGACCAATCAGAAGTGTTGGGATCAGAAAGAGCCGTTTTAAATCCTCCTAAAAACAAGTCATATGAAGTCCTGGACAATCCTTCATCTAAAGACCCAGAGTCCAGACCAGATCCATCTAAAGACCCAGAGTCCAGACCAGATCCATCTAAAGATCCAGAGTCGAGATCATGGCTAGAACAAGTCCAGGACCAATCCGTCGGTCTCAGGGGAGAAGAGGCCCTTGTAGATTCAGCTGAAGATGAAGTGAAATCACATTTATGGCTGAAAGATCAACAGTTTGAAGGTCTTTCTCAAATCCAAGATCCACCTCAAGACCCAAAGTCCACACCAAAACCATCCAAAGACCCAGAGTCCAGACCAAATCCATCTAAAGACCCAGAGTCCAGACCAGATCCATCCAAGGACTTAAATAAAGAAAAAGATCAGCCAAAATGCAAACCTGTTTCAGACAAAAGTAAAAAGTCATTATTGGGTTTATTTAAAAAGCAAAAGGCCGAGTCCAATGAGTCCCCCAAAGCCGAGGTCAGCCTGGGTTCGAACACAGACCAGGAGTCTAGTCCAGGTCCAGAGGAGAAGAAGAAGTCCGTCCTGATGTCCAAGTCCAAAAGTTTAGCTTCCAAAGTGAGCGGCTGGAGTCGTCTAAAGAAGCACATGGTCGTGGAGCAGGAAGAACCCGAGTTTCCAGACATTGAGCCCAAGTCGAGTCCTGGACTTGAGCCTGTTCCTAACCCAAGTCCAGGACCAGGACCAGAACCAGGACCAGGACCGCAACTCAGTCCAGATCTGGACATGTCACAAGCCACAGCAGAGACTGGGCCTAAAGCTTTGAAAATGTGGGATGCACTTCTCTTCCACATGTTCTCCACCAAAGAACGCATCCTGAAGCAGCTGGAGCAGAACCAGAGCTCCAAGACCAACCCAGACCCGGAGTCTCAGAAGGATCCAGAGACTGAGGCGCCTTCGTTCATCAGCCGTCTGCCCGTGCTGCTCTACAGCCCACGCTTTGACGCTCGCAAACTGAAAGAAGCAGCAGAGAAACCCATCAGTAAACTGTCCACTACCTTTGAGCGAGCGCTGATGCGACGGAAGAACCCTGAGGAGCAGAAGAAGGACTTCAACCGGAGACCCAAGGGTTTTCAGTCCAAGGCCGAGGCTGAAGACTGAAGAGCTGCACATCTGGGACTAAACTAGCATGAGTCCACTCTGAAGGCTCTTCATGGACACATCTCTGAGTCTATTTAAATTCAATAACAAGAAATTATTGAAGAATATTTTCCATTTTGTGCAGATTAAACTCTTACAGTATATTAAATATGATGCCCCACATAAGGCAGAGTCCCACCAACAGACTGTATACAGAAGGACAATGCTAACCCACTAGCTAAATGCTAACCTGAGAGCTAAATAGAGAAGTGCTCATGATGAAGTTTGGCCCATTGACTTATATGTAAAAGTAAACTCCTCTAGCTCAGTCATTGTTTGTGTCTCACTCACCATTTTGAGTTTTGAAATCTGTGTTTTATCGCTCTCTGTGATCCCGATCTTAATAATTGTGATGTCGACTTTGTAAATCCAGATATGAGCCATGCAAGGATTGACCAATCAGAGGCCTTCATTCTCAGGGGAAACTCCAGCTTGCGTTAGCAACCATCTTAGCAACACGTCTGCCCATGTTACAGCGCTAAGCTAACACAGCGGAACAAATGTCCCTGTAACCGGCTTCTTCTGCTAACACGGGCTAACGCTGGGGTGATGTCACACTCGGTCCAACCCTTGGGTAAGTGTTGGAGACGTTCTGTCCTGAATGAAGTGAAAGACACGATCTCTTTACCTTTTGTTTAGAAGCTGTTTGGGGTTTTCAGGAGATGGACTGTGATGGTCTCTCTCCTCCTCAGGTCTTATATTTTATTCATAATCAAAGCTGAATTCGTTACTAATTACAATAAATCTGATTAAAAAAACAACTTGTACTGAGGTTCAACAGATGTAATTTATCTGATATTTAACTGATACATATTTTATATGCAGAATATGAATAACGGACAAGGGTAAATTAATATCAAAGACGCAAGAGTGAAGCGGGAGTGAGGCGGGAGTGAAGAGGGAGTGAGGCGGGAGTGAAGCGGGAGTGAAGAGGGAGTGAGGCGGGAGTGAAGAGGGAGTGAGGCGGGAGTGAAGCGGGAGTGAAGAGGGAGTGAGGCGGGAGTGAAGAGGGAGTGAGGCGGGAGTGAAGAGGGAGTGAGGCGGGAGTGAAGAGGGAGTGAAGAGGGAGTGAAGAGGGAGTGAGGCGGGAGTGAAGAGGGAGTGAGGCGGGAGTGAAGAGGGAGTGAGGCGGGAGTGAAGAGGGAGTGAAGAGGGAGTGAAGAGGGAGTGAGGCGGGAGTGAAGAGGGAGTGAAGAGGGAGTGAGGCGGGAGTGAAGAGGGAGTGAAGAGGGAGTGAAGAGGGAGTGAGGCGGGAGTGAAGAGGGAGAGAGGCGGGAGTGAGGCGGGAGAGAGGCGGGAGTGAGGCGGGAGTGAAGAGGGAGAGAGGCGGGAGTGAAGAGGGAGTGAGGCGGGAGTGAAGAGGGAGAGAGGCGGGAGTGAAGAGGGAGAGAGGCGGGAGTGAAGAGGGAGTGAGGCGGGAGTGAAGAGGGAGTGAAGAGGGAGTGAGGCGGGAGTAAAGAGGGAGAGAGGCGGGAGTGAGGCGGGAGAGAGGCGGGAGTGAGGCGGGAGTGAAGAGGGAGAGAGGCGGGAGTGAAGAGGGAGTGAGGCGGGGAGTGAAGAGGGAGAGAGGCGGGAGTGAGGCGGGAGTGAAGAGGGAGTGAAGAGGGAGTGAGGCGGGAGTGAAGAGGGAGAGAGGCGGGAGTGAAGAGGGAGTGAGGCGGGAGTGAAGAGGGAGTGAGGCGGGAGTGAAGAGGGAGAGAGGCGGGAGTGAGGCGGGAGAGAGGCGGGAGTGAGGCGGGAGTGAAGAGGGAGAGAGGCGGGAGTGAAGAGGGAGTGAGGCGGGAGTGAAGAGGGAGTGAGGCGGGAGTGAAGAGGGAGTGAGGCGGGAGTGAAGAGGGAGAGAGGCGGGAGTGAAGAGGGAGTGAGGCGGGAGTGAAGAGGGAGTGAGGCGGGAGTGAAGAGGGAGTGAAGAGGGAGTGAGGCGGGAGTAAAGAGGGAGAGAGGCTGGAGTGAGGCGGGAGAGAGGCGGGAGTGAGGCGGGAGTGAAGAGGGAGAGAGGCGGGAGTGAAGAGGGAGTGAGGCGGGAGTGAAGAGGGAGAGAGGCGGGAGTGAAGAGGGAGTGAGGCGGGAGTGAAGCGGGAGTGAAGAGGGAGTGAAGAGGGAGTGAGGCGGGAGTGAGGCGGGAGTGAGGCGGGAGTGAAGCGAGAGTGAAGAGGGAGTGAGGCGGGAGAGAGGCGGGAGTGAAGCGAGAGTGAAGAGAGGGAGTGAGGTGGGAGTGAAGAGGGAGTGAGGCGGGAGTGAAGAGGGAGTGAGGCGGGAGTGAAGAGGGAGTGAGGTGGGAGTGAAGAGGGAGTGAGGCGGGAGTGAAGCGGGAGTGAGGCGGGAGTGAAGAGGGAGTGAGGCGGGAGTGAGGCGGGAGTGAAGAGGGAGAGAGGCGGGAGTGAAGAGGGAGAGAGGCGGGAGAGAGGCGGGAGAGAGGCGGGAGTGAGGCGGGAGTGAGGCGGGAGAGAGGCGGGAGTGAAGAGGGAGTGAGGCGGGAGTGAGGCGGGAGTGAGGCGGGAGTGAAGCGGGAGTGAGGCGGGAGTGAAGAGGGAGTGAAGAGGGAGTGAAGAGGGAGTGAGGCGGGAGTGAAGAGGGAGTGAGGCGGGAGTGAAGAGGGAGTGAAGAGGGAGTGAAGAGGGAGTGAAGTGGGAGTGAAGAGGGAGTGAAGAGGGAGTGAAGAGGGAGTGAAGAGGGAGTGAGGCGGGAGTGAAGAGGGAGTGAGGCGGGAGTGAAGAGGGAGTGAAGAGGGAGTGAGGCGGGAGTAAAGAGGGAGAGAGGCGGGAGTGAGGCGGGAGAGAGGCGGGAGTGAGGCGGGAGTGAAGAGGGAGAGAGGCGGGAGTGAAGAGGGAGTGAGGCGGGAGTGAAGAGGGAGAGAGGCGGGAGTGAAGAGGGAGTGAGGCGGGAGTGAAGCGGGAGTGAAGAGGGAGTGAAGAGGGAGTGAGGCGGGAGTGAGGCGGGAGTGAAGCGGGGAGTGAAGCGAGAGTGAAGAGGGAGTGAGGCGGGAGAGAGGCGGGAGTGAAGCGAGAGTGAAGAGGGAGTGAGGTGGGGTGAAGAGGGAGTGAGGCGGGAGTGAAGAGGGAGTGAGGCGGGAGTGAAGAGGGAGTGAGGTGGGAGTGAAGAGGGAGTGAGGCGGGAGTGAAGCGGGAGTGAGGCGGGAGTGAAGAGGGAGTGAGGCGGGAGTGAGGCGGGAGTGAAGAGGGAGAGAGGCGGGAGTGAAGAGGAAGAGAGGCGGGAGAGAGGCGGGAGAGAGGCGGGAGTGAGGCGGGAGAGAGGCGGGAGAGAGGCGGGAGTGAGGCGGGAGTGAAGAGGGAGTGAGGCGGGAGTGAAGAGGGAGTGAAGAGGGAGTGAAGAGGGAGTGAGGCGGGAGTGAAGAGGGAGTGAGGCAGGAGTGAAGAGGGAGTGAAGAGGGAGTGAAGAGGGAGTGAAGTGGGAGTGAAGAGGGAGTGAAGAGGGAGTGAAGAGGGAGTGAAGAGGGAGTGAGGCGGGAGTGAAGAGGGAGAGAGGTGAGAGTGAAGAGGGAGTGAAGAGGGAGTGAGGCGGGAGTGAAGAGGGAGTGAGGCGGGAGTGAAGAGGGAGTGAAGAGGGAGTGAAGAGGGAGTGAAGTGGGAGTGAAGAGGGAGTGAAGAGGGAGTGAAGAGGGAGTGAAGAGGGAGTGAAGCGGGAGTGAAGAGGGAGTGAAGAGGGAGTGAAGAGGGAGTGAAGAGGGAGTGAAGTGGGAGTGAAGAGGGAGTGAAGTGGGAGTGAAGAGGGAGTGAAGAGGGAGTGAAGAGGGAGTGAAGTGGGAGTGAAGAGGGAGTGAAGAGGGAGTGAAGAGGGAGTGAAGAGGGAGTGAAGAGGGAGTGAAGAGGGAGTGAAGTGGGAGTGAAGAGGGAGTGAAGAGGGAGTGAAGAGGGAGTGAAGAGGGAGTGAAGAGGGAGTGAGGCGGGAGTGTACTGAAGTTCTCGCCGCAGAGAGATCAAAGGACAGAGCGGAGCAGGTTTTCATTCCACCCAAACAGAAGCACAACTGACTCCACCTCCAGATCCTGGTCAGAACAGAGCCTTTCTTTGTGAGTGGAGTTTGCATGTTCTACCCGTGCCTTTTTCCGGGTGCTTCAGTTCCCCCTACCACTAAAAACATGTTCAATAGATAATAAATGTGGCCAGAGCTGTCGGTGAAAGCCAGATCCTGACAGACCTCTGAAGCTGTGCAGGGCAGGGCCTGGTCAGTGCTGTGATGGGAGACCTTTGGGAACACCACAGAGAGGTTCCTCGCTGATGCAGGTAGGTTTGGGACGGAGATGATCCAGGACATTTATCAACATTTCTGGACAGTGGTCGTCCCGCTCTTTACGAAGGACGGAGCTGTGGAGTCTGTGTGCTGCTGTTTGGTTGGTACGAAAACCTGCAGCGACTCATTCAAGTTGAAGACTCTTGGATTAAGCAATAGTTAGAAATAGACATTTGATCTGAGTTTGTGAAGGGTTTCTCCACAGGGTTTGGGAGTTCTGGGATAATGTGTTCTGTCTTTGTAAGATTCTAAAGAGAGTGGAATGTTGTGAGCTGTAGATAGACTTTTTTATATAACGGCTTCAAAACGTATTTTTTTTTCTTGATTTCTGTTTAATAAACGTTTTTATCTGTGCTTTGAGTGTTTTCTGTGCTTTGAGAAATCCCAGACGGCCACAAGAGGGCGCCAGATATAAGGTCTTCAACAACATCAGGGCTTCATGAGCTCGTCCTCACTTTCAAGGAACGAAGAGACCACAGTGGATTCTTTTGTGATGTCACTTTATACAATTATACCATATTTTTGAGCGCTATAAAAATGAAGGAAAAGGACTTAATTGTTTGTTCATGATGCAAACCTAACTTCAAAAAAAATGAAAGAAAATGACTTTTTTTTGTTTTTTGTTTATGATGCGAACACATTGTAAATATGTAGGAAAAAAGACGCACTTCTGTTTCTGCAAGAACGTGTAAAAACCATAAAAACCAATGGAAAGAACTAATAATGTTTAGACAATGAAAAATGGTTCAACTCATTTTTAAGAAACATTGAAGATTCGTTGTTTTAGCGACAGTGGTTTTTAGTTTGTTTTTGTTGTTGCACATGAGCCACACTTTTTCAGTCTTTATTTGGTTTATGTTTCTCACTTACTCGAAAAAGGAATCAAAGCAGCTCTCAGTCCTGGGTCTACAGCCTCAGTCCTGGATCTACAGCCTCAGTCCTGGGTCTACAGCCTCAGTCCTGGGTCTACAGCCTCAGTCCTGGGTCTGCAGCCTCAGTCCTGGGTCTACAGCCTCAGTCCTGGATCTACAGCCTCAGTCCTGGGTCTACAGCCTCAGTCCTGGATCTACAGCCTCAGTCCTGGATCTACAGCCTCAGTCCTGGGTCTACAGCCTCAGTCCTGGATCTACAGTCTCAGTCCTGGGTCTACAGCCTCAGTCCTGGATCTACAGCCTCAGTCCTGGGTCTACAGCCTCAGTCCTGGATCTACAGTCTCAGTCCTGGGTCTACAGCCTCAGTCCTGGGTCTACAGCCTCAGTCCTGGATCTACAGCCTCAGTCCTGGATCTACAGTCTCAGTCCTGGGTCTACAGCCTCAGTCCTGGATCTACAGCCTCAGTCCTGGATCTACAGCCTCAGTCCTGGATCTACAGCCTCAGTCCTGGGTCTACAGCCAATGTCTACAGGTGACATAAGTTATTAATGTCACCTTTAAGTTTGTGTGTATTCACCGTTTCAGTCACAGACTCATCGGAAACGGACTTCAGCGTTTGACTTTCAGACTCTTATCGCTCTCGGTGCGATCACTCACAAACAGGAAGCTGTGGTTTTGAAACTGAATTTTGAATTTCTCAGAAACAGGAAGTAGTTTGCTCTGACTGGAAGAGCCCGCCCCCTTCTCATCAGCTTCCCCTTTAAGTTTCAACTCGTATTCGAAGAAATGTTATTTAGCGAAGCATTCTGAGAAAAAGGTCTAATAACAATCTAACTGTGAGTTTGTGGGTTTAAAAACAAAAAGGAGGTGTCAGTCTAAGCCCGAGACTGTAAACAGATGGACAATGCTAACACGCTAGCTCTATGAAGCTAATGGGGAAGTGCTCATGGTGAAGTTTCGCTCTGGCTCCTGTGGACCTACATGTAAATGTCATTAGCTTGCGTATCTGTGAGTGTGTGTGTCTAAGAGTGTGTGTGTGTGTGTGTGTGTCTAAGATTGTGTGTGTGTCTGTGAGTGAGTCTGTCTATGAGTGTGTCTGTGAGTGAGGGTGTGTGTCTGTGTGTGAGTGTGTAAGACTGTGTGTGTGTGTGTATGAACGTGTGTGTGTCAGTGAGTGCATGTGTCTCTCTGTGTGTGTGTATTTCCAGGTTAAACACAATCCTAATTATCTTTTTGAATGTGATCAACACTGGTCAGACTGTACAACGAACACATGAAATAGACAAACTCATGAGTTCATTACAAAATTATTCATTTATTTAAATTCATATAAAAATAGAGATATTGTACAACTCTAGAAGTAAAAAATAGAAAAATAAAGAATTCAAGCTTAATTTACAATTCCAAACCCAGAACAGTCACAGTGTGTTTGTCTGCTTTATAAATAAATAAATAAATACTATTTAAATATACATAGTTCCCACAGACCAATGAATGTCACATGACCTCCTCGGAGACGCCATCTTTGATGGCACGCTGCTGTGTTTGTGCATTCCATTAAACAGAAGAATGAGAATAAATGTAGATATTCAAACGCAAATTGGAAAAAAAGGGCAACTTTTGAGCAAATAATTGTATATTAATACAATGGCACCACAGTTTAACGTGCTACGGACATGTTTTACATATTTGATCAAATTATGCAGCAAAAATTAACAAGCAATGCAAACATTTCTCAAAAACTTTAGATTTAATACCAGTTGGAGCTCCATTTAATTATTTTAATTATATTAACAATTAATTTAATTAATGCTAATGCCACACGGGACACTCTGGATTGCTGTTATTGTTTATTTCCGCGTTTTTGACCGTATGTTTTGGTGAATGGTGGGCAACTGATTTTTCCAGGCGTAAAGAGCAGTTTATTTTTATGACACAGATCTTTTTACAGAAGCAATGCTGTTTGTGAACATTGTTTTAGCCCACCATGGAACTATTATTATCTATTTAATACATTTACGTTGCCCTCGAGAGCCTCGGACGCGACACCGATCCTCCTCATAATAAAGTAATCTAAATAATGAAACTCTCAAGTTACCAGATATCAGCATACACAAGTTAGTACTGAGTAAATTACGTCTGTCAACACATTATAAGATACGATACGCACCTGACACAAAGTGCTCCGAGCATATTCTTGCGTGTTTTGAGGGAGTTTCTTGCCTGTTTATCTTCGCAAGCCATAACCTCCGTGGTTGTTCTGACAAAAGCGTAGTCTTCTCACATTCATGAAGTCTAATGATGGGTATACTGTAAAATCCAAGTTTAACGGAACCTCCGGCACGATTTGAACATCCATTGACCCAGCAGGAGATGACCATTTTCAACTTTATCACGACATTAACACGTTTCAGCTTCTTTTTCTATTGTTTTGCCCACAGAATGCCAACTCAAATGGCGCCGGGTCGGCAAATCCCCGTATGTAGTGACGTCATGTAGGAACTATGTATACAACAGTTCAGTGCATTTCAGAAAAAACAGTTTGAGGTCACGCCCCCTGGTGGTTATAGTGAGGGATGCAGCAGTGTGTGTGTGGGGGGGGGCAGCTCCAAAAGGTCCATGAGCACAATCTCACTCCTTAGAGGTGGGGGTGTACCCGGAAAGAGAATTACCCAATGCTTTTGTATGGCGTCTTTACTCTGAAAACGTCTTTACAGGATGGTCCAAAAGTGATGTCACATTAGTTTGAACGGCGGAGAGAAGCGTCCGTTAGTATTTAGAGTCTATGTGCTGTAGGGGGCGCTGTTCTTTATCCACGGGTGTTTGACGATGTCCTCAAGCGATGGACGATCGGCAGGACGGAGCGAGAGACACCACCGGATCAAATGCTGACATTCTGAGAACACAAGAATGACATCACGTTAATGACATCACAGGAATGATGGCATGTTTATTGTGGCTTTAAAAGATTTGTAAATGTGACGTCTGTAAGTTCTGACTGTAGCCGTCGATAAATGATAAATGTACATATGTAAAATTATAAAAGAAAAACATTGTAAAAAAGGTTATAAACATGTTTTAATAATAATAATATTAATAATAACAGTATTTACCGGGGGATATCTGGCCTCTGAACGGCGGCTGCGCCCTGATGATGTCGTGGTCGTGCTCAAACGGGATGTCGCCACAGACCATGTCGAACAGCAGTACTCCCAGTGACCACACGGTGGCAGAGCGGGCGTGGTACCGATGATACTGGATCCACTCCGGAGGACTGTACACGCGTGTGCCTGAACACAGAGGACCAGAGGGTCACGGTTAGTGAGGGTCTTATAAATGAGAAGGGTCCGAGTAGAGTAGAGTACAATAGAGTAGAGTACAATAGAGTAGAGTAGAGTAGTGTAGAGTACAGTAGAGTACAGTAGAGTAGACTAGGGTAGGGTAGTGTAGAGTAGTGTAGAGTAGAGTAGAGTAGAGTAGGGTAGAGTAGTGTAGTGTAGTGTAGAGTACAGTAGTGTAGAGTAGTGTAGAGTAGAGTAGAGTAGTGTAGAATAGAGTAGAGTAGAGTACAATAGAGTAGAGTAGAGTACAATAGAGTAGAGTAGAGTACAATAGAGTAGAGTAGAGTAGAGTAGTGTACAATAGAGTAGAGTAGAGTACAATAGAGTAGAGTAGAGTACAATAGAGTAGAGTAGGGTAGAGTAGAGTACAGTAGTGTAGAGTAGAGTACAGTAGTGTAGAGTACAAACAGGGGTTTCTCTCACCGTCGAAGTCCGTGTAGAGCGAGTCCTTGAGCAGCGCTCCGGAGCCGAAGTCGATGAGTCTGGTTTCTTTGGTGTCGCGGTGGATCAGGACGTTCTCGTCTTTGATGTCGCGGTGGACGACGCCGCAGCGGTGACAGTGGACCACGGCCTCCAGCACCTGCACCAACACGGTCCTCGCCAGGTCCTCGCCGAGGGGGCCGCGCTCTGTGATGTAATCAAACAGGTCTGTGGAGTTCTCCGGCCGCTCCATGACCACGATGAAACTGTCCGGGCGCTCGAACCAGTCCAGGAGCCGGACCACCCCCCGAGACCCGGACCCCCCCACCTTCTTCAGCAGGACCACCTCCAGGGGCACCCGCTGACCTGCCTGAGGAGAGGAGGGACCCTGTCAGTGTGAGGTCAGGCACCACATAAGGGACCCTGTCAGTGTGAGGTCAGGCACCACATGAGGGACCCTGTCAGTGTGAGGTCAGGCACCACATGAGGGACCCTGTCAGTGTGAGGTCAGGCACCACATGAGGGACCATGTCAGTGTGAGGTCAGGCACCACATGAGGGACCATGTCAGTGTGAGGTCAGGCATTATATGAGGGACCATGTCAGTGTGAGGTCAGGCACCACATGAGGGACCATGTCAGTGTGAGGTCAGGCATTATATGAGGGACCATGTCAGTGTGAGGTCATGCACCACATGAGGGACCCTGTCAGTGTGAGGTCAGGCACCACATGAGGGACCATGTCAGTGTGAGGTCAGGCACCACATGAGGGACCATGTCAGTGTGAGGTCTACATGAGGGACCCTGTCAGTGTGAGGTCAAGCACCACATGAGGGACCCTGTCAGTGTGAGGTCAAGCACCACATGAGGGACCCTGTCAGTGTGAGGTCAGGCACCACATGAGGGACCATGTCAGTGTGAGGTCAGGCACCACATGAGGGACCATGTCAGTGTGAGGTCTACATGAGGGACCATGTCACAGTGAGGTCAAGCACCACATGAGGGACCCTGTCAGTGTGAGGTTAATGCATGACTATTATGTTTATGCAGGGTCTGGACCATATTACTGTTAGGGAGTATGTAAGGCAGAGCTAGCTTGCTCTTGGGAAGAAGTACCCTGTTGGTGTGAGGTGTGTAAAGCACTCACCAGCTCTCCCCACTCCGTGACCCGCTCCTTTGCCACATGTTTCACTGCCACCTGAAAAGACACAGAATGGATCATCAGCCGAGCACTTTGAAGAGCACAGCACACATACACACACTGTGCTTACTCACCGCAGCGCCGTCACTCAGTCGGGTGCCTGAGTACACTGTGCCGAAGCCACCACTGCCCAGAACCGGTCCCACAGAGTACGACTTCTCAAACGGTTCCTTCTCTTTCACTACGGAATAAACACAATTATCAATAAATATACAATATTAATAATAAACAGGAGCAAAGCACTTTCCCCTCACAGTTAGTCCTGACCCTCACAGTTAGTCCGTAGGTACAGCTTTACAACAGTCAATGTCCTGGTTCGGACCGGATTCAGTCCCAGTAAAGTCCTGGTGTAGTCCTGGTTGAGCCTTGGTTCAGTCCTGCTTCAGTGCCAGTCAAAGTCCTGGTTTAGTCCAGTCCTGGTTCAGACCTGGATGCAGATGTGGAGCCAAAGCGCTGAGTCTGGACAGAAACATTTTGATCCAAGAGTCCAGTCAGATACAAGTTCTGCAGCTTTGGTCCGACCAGACCAGGGGTAGTCCAGAGACCCAGTTCAGACCAGGGGTAGTCCAAAGACTGAAGTTAAGACCAGGAGTAATCCAGAGACCTCGTTAAGACCAGGAGTAGTCCAAAGACCCAGTTGAGCCAGAGGTAGTTCAGAGACCCAGTTCAGAGACCCAGTTCAGACCAGGAGTAGTCCAGAGACCCAGTTCAGACCAGAGGTAGTCCAGAGACCCAGTTCAGACCATGTGGGGCAGTTCTAAATGATGCAGAAGCGGCAGAGTGATTTATAAACAGCAGACAAGGCCCCGCCCCTCTCCGAGTCTCGACCAATGGGAGTACAGGAATTTCTTTGAAACTCAGAAAGAGGGCGGGGCTAAGAGCGCGCCAAACCCCTCCCCCTCCCTCCTCCTCACAGTTTCGCGGGAAACTGTCTGGACAATGAGCACATGTCCTCACAGGAAACTCACAAACTCTGAATATGTTTGGTTTTTATGGTACAATAACAATAATAAATGTGAAATAACAATAATAAAGGTCCAATAACAATAATAAAGGTCCAATAACAATAATAAAGGTCCAATAACAATAATAAAGGTGCAATAACAATAATAATGCAATATATGTAATAATTCATGCTTAATAATCTTCATAGTAACATTATTTATACATACAATTTATAATCATGACATATTAAAGTGTAAGTTATGAGATTAATAATATAGGGTTTGGCCTGGACTCGGGTCTCTGGTCTGGTCCCTTTTCTGGTCTTTTTTTTTTGTGGCTCTCTTCTAGTTTCTGGTCTGTTTCTGTTCTAGTTTCTAGTCTGTTTCTGTTCTAGTTTCTAGTCTGGTCTCTGGTCTGGTCTCTGTTCTAGTCTCTGGTCTAGTCTCTGTTCTAGTCTCTGTTCTAGTCTCTTGTCTAGTCTCTGGTCTGGTCTCTAGACTGGTCTCTGGTCTAGTTTCTGTTCTATAGTCTCTGTTCTAGTCTCTGGTCTAGTCTCTGGTCTGGTCTCTAGTCTGGTCTCTGTTCTAGTCTCTGTTCTAGTCTCTTGTCTAGTCTCTGGTCTGGTCTCTAGTCTAGTCTCTGGTCTAATCTCTGGTCTAGTCTCTGTTCTGGTCTCTGGTCTGGTCTCTGGTCTAGTCTCTGGTCTAGTCTCTGTTCTATAGTCTCTGTTCTGGTCTCTGGTTAAGACCAAAGACTGTTTCACATTCCTTACATTCTTCAGGTGGAGTCCCCGGCCTCAGTGTGTGGGAACTACCCCCATGGATCTATAGACTTACCCCCCCCTGAATGTCCTCGATGCCCCCGAGAAGCCCCTCCCACACTGGAGTTTCCGCGCTCTTTCCTTTTCTCATTCAGAAAATAGAGAAACAGGTTTAAGGCTTAGGCAAGACAAGTTTATCTGTATAGCACAATTCATACACAAGACAACTCTAATCTTAAATAAGATAAGTTAAGATAAAATAAACCTTTATTAGTCTCACACGGAGACATGTCAGTGTCATCGTTGCACATAACAGCAGAAGGACATAAGACTCAGACACACACATCAAATAGTCTGTTATTTAGATAATAGACAATAAAACTATAAGATACAAATAAAATAAGATAAACTCTGGGCTATAATTGCACTTGGTTCAGAAGTATTTACAGATGTCTATATTATACTTTTTTTTCAAACATATTTTTATTAGTTTTTTCAGAATACAAAAACAAAAAATTGCAAAATGTCAAAATATAAAATATAAGCTAGCATAGAGAAGCAAATACTAAAATAAAATAAAATTGCAACAAAAAAAACAACAAAAATGTATACATATATAGACACATGCAAGCAAAAAAATAGATGAACATACTATATATGTACATTGATACACATAGTCACACTCTGAAAAAGCAACAGTCATTGCTTAAGAAATTGCATTAAAGGTGTCCATACATCTTCAAATTCCTGTGCTCTGCCTCTGACAATATAAGTACACTTTTCCAACATAACACTAAGTGACATTTCTCGAATCCAGGATTGTAAAGAAGGAGTTTCAGTCTCTTTCCAACACAGTGCGATCATCCTCCTGGCCTGCAGGAGGCCAAAGTCTATCAGAGTCTTATTTTTAGATTCAGCTACAAAGTCACCTGGATATATTCCCAGTACACAAAGTTTTGCTACACAGGGAACTTGAATGGCAACTATTTTGTATAATATGTTAATGACCGATTTCCAAAAAATTACCAGTTTCGGACACTCCCATACACAATGGATTAATGTACCTTTTTCAGTACAGCATTTGACACAGGTGTCTGGAATGTCCGGGGACCATTTATTTAGCTTCTCTGGGGTTATGTAAGTTCTCATTAACCACTTATGCTGTAGTAGTTTAAATCTTGTATTAATTGTTTGTGTTTGGGCCTTTAAACAAGCAGATGTCCACTCAACTTTATCAATATCTTCTCCTATATCCATGCTCCATGCGGTCTTTCTGTCAAAGCTGGATTCCCTATCTTGAGATACAAGCGCAGTGTACAGTATAGATATTTGCTTCCGACCTTGCATATGTTTCATTACAATTCCCTCCAGGTATGACAGTGGCGGCTCACGTAGAATGTTACCATGTTTGGATGAGATAAAATGTTTTAATTGTAAATACTTAAAAAAATGTTTTTGTGGGATAGAATATTTCAAACAAATATTGTTGAATGTCAAGAGATCACCTTGAGCATATAAATCCCCTATTTTTTGCACGCCTTGCTTTGCCCACTTTTTAAAGCCACCGTCTGATGTACCGGGTGCAAACCGCACATTACCCCAAATAGGAGAGAATTGAGAAACGGAGGGTGTATCATCAATATGTTTATGAGCTTTAAACCAAACATCAATAGTATTTTTAAGAAAAGGATTTGTTGTTTTTTTCTTTAAGGTCTTAAGATCTGCAGAATATAGATACAGGCACAATGGAAGCTTGGAGGAGGACTGCTCAAGGGAGATCCAGCCTGGAGGAGGATGTATAGAAAAATAAAACATAGCCGAGCGAAGCTGGGCAGACCAGTAGTACCACTGAAAGTTAGGCATTTGTAAGCCTCCCCTATCATATGGCAAGTACAATAATCTAAGCCTCAGTCTAGGTTTCCTATTATTCCAAATAAATCTGCAAAAAATACGGTTAATTTCTTTAAAGAAAGACTTTGACAAAGGAAGCGGAATAGACTGAAACAAGTATAAAAATTTTGGGAGGATGCTCATCTTGATTAGATTTATTCGTCCTATCAATGACAATGGCATTTTCATCCACTTTTCAAGAGAGTCTTTCACTTCATTCACCAGCGGGTCATAATTTGTTTTAATAACTGTATTTATGTGAGGAGTAATCTTAATTCCAAGGTATGTAAACCCGACTCCTGCATTAAAAAAGGGTGTATGTATGATTGGGTGAGACCGCTCCTCTTTGTTTAAAAAAAGAATGGAGGATTTAGAATTGTTAATACTGTATCCCGAGAATTTACCAAAAGTAGTGACCAATTGTAAAAGAGTTGGAATGCTAACTGCAAGCTCTGACAGAAACAAGATGATGTCATCAGCGTACAACGAAATTCTGTGTTCAAAATCCCCAACTGTTATTCCTGAAAGATTGGCCTCAGCCCTGATAGACATAGCGAGGGGCTCAATGGCCAATATAAACAGTAAGGGGGAGAGGGGGCACCCCTGTCTCGTAGACCTTTCTAATACTATATAGTCGGACAGATTATTATTAGTTTTTATACAAGCCGAAGGGCCAGTGTACAAGAGTTTTATCCATTTTAAAAAGGGAGCTCCAAGCCCATATCTTGCTAGTACATTGAACAAATATGGCCATTCTATCCTATCAAATGCTTGTTTTGCATCAAGAGATAAAAGCGCCATGTCTTTTGTATTGTATTTTTCATGAATTATGTTTAAAACCCTTCTGATGTTATGAAATCCTTGACGCTTTTGCACAAATCCATTTTGATCGTTGTGCACCAAATGGGAGATATGAGGATTCAATCTATTAGCAAGAACTTTACTTAACATTTTAGCATCAACCCCCATGAGGCTAATGGGCCTATAAGAAGAGCTATCCAACGAGTTTTTGTTTGGTTTTAAAATAAGAATTATTCTAGCTTGTCTTAAAGTTGGAGGTAAGATCCCATTATTTAATGACTCATTAAACATATCTAAAAGCGGTTTTAACAAATGAGTTTGAAAGACCTTGTAAAACTCTACAGGCAGACCGTCCGGCCCCGGGGCTTTGCCAGAGTTGATATTCTTAATGGCCTGGAGTAGATCTTGTGTGGTGATATCAGCGTTCAGATCTGCCTGGACATCTTCAGTTATTTTTTTAAATTGGAGACTGTTGAGGAAGTCATCACAATCTGTTGAAGTGGAACAGCATTCTGAGGAGTACAATGACCTATAAAATTCCTTAAATGTATCGTTTATGTGTTGTGGGTCATTTGTAATTTCTCCTGACGGTAAAGATATACCATTAATGGCCTTTTCTGATTCTATTTGTTTAATTCTCCATGCCAAGAGCTTACCAGCTTTTTCCCCCTGGTCGTAAAAATTTTGCTTGAGCCATAGTAGACTTTTTGCAGCCTTTTCGGCTGTTAGTTTATTGTATCCTGTCCTTAGGACAAGTAATTGTTTTTGTTTTCCAGGATCATTGTTCTCATTTGAGTCAATTTCTAATAATTTAATTTGGTTTTCTAAATTTGCAATGTCTTCCCTTTCAATTTTACGTTTTGTAGAAACAAAACTAATTATCACCCCTCTTATGTAAGCTTTGAATGCTTCCCACCGAACACATGCATTAGTTTGTTCTGTATTAATCTCAAAAAAGATTTTGATTCTTTCTTCCACATTCTTCCATATTTTAAAAAATCTTTGTTTTGTAGCCATCTCACTTGTAAACGTCAATTGAAGGTGGGGCGTGAAAGTTTGTTAATCTGTACAGACAAGGACGTTGGGGAGTGGTCACTAATAACTAAACATTCATACCAACAATTAGTCACTTTTGATAACAATTCTTGCGACACCAAAAAGTAATCAATGCGGGATCTGGATTTGTTTAATCCAGAATAACATGAATATTCTAGTTTTTTTGGATGGAGTTTTCTCCAAATCTCTGTTAAATTCAAATCAGCCATATATTGCAGTATATTTTTTCTACATTTTTGTTTTTGGGGGTCTAATTTTGAAGAACGGTCCAGAAGTGGATTCAATGTGCAATTAAAATCCCCGCCGATAATATATATACCATTCAATGAGGACACCGTTAAAAATAATTCATCAAAAAACTTTGGATTGTCCTCATTAGGGCCATACACTCACACCAAATTCAATTCAAGAGAGCACATATGCCCCTGAGCAATAACATACCTTCCTTGAGGATCTTGAATAGTCTTGTTGAGCTGAAAAGGTATTGTTTTGTGAATGAGAATTAAAACTCCCCTTGCATAATTATTGTAATTTGCATAGATAACTTGAACCGGCCATCTACGACGTACCCGTTCAATTTCTGAGCTAGTAATATGAGTTTCTTGGAGAAAGAATATTTTAGAGTTTAAGCTTTTAAGTCTGTTCATAACTTGTTTCAACTTTGAAAGCCTATTGAGCCCCCGCACATTCCAGCTAGTAATTATCAAGTCTGACATTTTGAATCTTCCAAAAATTTAAATGCAATGCAATTTCGAGTGCGATATTGAACAAAACATAAATAAAAAAACAAACAAAACATAAAAAAACAATCCCCTGATCCCAACCCCAATCCCTTACTTAAACTGAACAGTGTAAGGGCTGATGTCAATCCACACAGAGGAGGAGTGACTGAACTGTGGAGAGTCATCCCTGAAAAAGCCCAAACTGGCACCCCCACAACTCCTCACATGGGTTTATAACGTCCCAGCAATAATACAAATATAATTATAACGTAAAATCTCCGCCAAATGCAGTATATAAGGAACAAATAAAATTAGAAGGTAAATAATTACCATCAAAGACAAATAATAACTATTTTCAAAACCATTCGATTCAAACAATATCCCGATTTTGTCCAGAGAAGTACTTGAGATTACCTTTACTCCAAAGTATTGAAGAAGAATATAAGTTACTTATGCAGAAAGTTCTCAGCTTCTTCTGGTGTAGGGAAAGTGACTATCTTCCCGTTGTGGAAGATCCGCATCTTACATGGTTGTAGCTGGAATCCCCGAAAAGATCCAGCTTCAACGAACTGCTTTTTCACCGCGTTGAACTGGCTGCGTTTCTTCATGGTTTCTGCAGAAAAATCTTGGGCAAAAAAGATCGTATGGCCCTCGTGAGTGATAGTGCGTTGCTTAGCTTTAAGGAACACCACTTCTCGATCTTGAAAACGTAAAAATCTGATTAGTACCGCTCGATTCTGTCCTGGTTTTGGTCTTCCCAGCGTGCGATGTGCTCTTTCAATCGTAAATCGATTGTCCGCGGGGTCAAGACCCAACCAGAGAGGCATCTTGTGCTGAATGTAGCTTAGCATGGACTGGGTTCCTTCGGTGCCCTCAGGCAGACCCACGAGTCTCAGGTTTTTCCGACGGCCACGGTTTTCTAAATCCTCAGTTTTAGTTAGTTAGTTTTAGCATTGGTGGCGGAGCAGTGCTTCTGGTCTTCTGAGACCCGCGGAGCCGAGAGGTAGTTTCACAGTCCTTAATCGTTGTTTGTTTTGACATCTTGTGAGCGTTGCAAAAGGCGCTAATGCTGGAACTTTTTAAGATTTACGTGGAGTTGTGAGGGACAACCACGTTATGCTGCCATCATGCTTGGCGGCTCCACAGCGCCCCCGTCTATATTATACTTTAGCCGCAGAGAATATGAGAATATGAGCAGAATAAACATCAGGAATAATATCAACAGGTAAAGTGACTTGTGAAAGGCAGAAGTATCAGAAATATGTAGTAATGCAGTAATACTGATAACAGGTAAAGTGACAAGTGACAAAGTACTAGTGAATTATAAGTGACTGATTAGCAGTTCCTGTTACACATTCTCGTTGTACAGTCTGACAGCAGCAGGAAGGAAAGAACTGCGGAACCTCTCCTTCACACAGCGAGGGTGAATTAGTCTGTCACTGAAGCTGCTCTCCAGAGCAGAGAGAGTATCCTGCAGGGGGTGACAGTCATGGTCCAGCATAGATGTTAGTTTGCTCAGGACCCTCCTGTCCCCCACCTGCTGCACTGTGTCCAGGGAACAGCCCAGGACTGAGCTGGACTTCCAGATGACCTGGTCCAGCTTCTTCCTGTCCCTCTCTGTGATGCTGCTGCTCCAGCAGACCACACCGTACAAGAGGCTGATGCCACCACAGAGTCATAGAAGGTCTTCAGGAGTGGCCCCTGCACTCCAAAAGACCTAAGCCTCCTCAGCAGGTAGAGGCGGCTCTGGCCCTTCTTGAAGAGGGCGTCTGTGTTATGAGTCCAGTCCAGTTTGTGGTTCAGATGAACACCCAGGTACTTGTAAGAGTCCACTCTCTCGATGTCCTTTCCCTGGAAGTTCACTGGAGCTGGGGCGGCAGAGTGACGTCTGCGGAAATCCACCACCATCTCCTTGGTCTTCCCCGCGTTGATGAGGAGGTGGTTCATCTCCTTGGTCTTCCTCACGTTGATGAGGAGGTGGTTCATCTCCTTGGTCTTCCTCACGTTGATGAGGAGGTGGTTCATCTCCTTGGTCTTCCTCACGTTGATGAGGAGGTGGTTCATCTCCTTGGTCTTCCCCGCGTTGATGAGGAGGTGGTTCATCTCCTTAGTCTTCCCCGCGTTGATGAGGAGGTGGTTCATCTCCTTGGTCTTCCTCACGTTGATGAGGAGGTGGTTCATCTCCTTGGTCTTCCTCACGTTGATGAGGAGGTGGTTCATCTCCTTGGTCTTCCCCGCGTTGATGAGGAGGTGGTTCATCTCCTTAGTCTTCCCCGCGTTGATGAGGAGGTGGTTCATCTCCTCGGTCTTCCTCACGTTGATGAGGAGGTGGTTCATCTCCTCGGTCTTCCTCACGTTGATGAGGAGGGGGTTCATCTCCTTGGTCTTCCTCACGTTGATGAGGAGGTGGTTCATCTCCTTGGTCTTCCCCGCGTTGATGAGGAGGTGGTTCATCTTCTCGGTCTTCCTCACGTTGATGAGGAGGTGGTTCATCTCCTTGGTCTTCCCCGCGTTGATGAGGAGGTGGTTCATCTCCTTAGTCTTCTCCGCATTGATGAGGAGTTGGTTCATCTCCTTGGTCTTCCCCGCGTTGATGAGGAGGTGGTTCATCTCCTTGGTCTTCCCCGCGTTGATGAGGAGGTGGTTCATCTCCTTGGTCTTCCCCGCGTTGATGAGGTGGTGGTTCATCTCCTTGGTCTTCCCCGCGTTGATGAGGAGGTGGTTCATCTCCTTAGTCTTCTCCGCGTTGATGAGGAGGTGGTTCATCTCCTTAGTCTTCCCCGCGTTGATGAGGAGGTGGTTGCCCTTTAAGATGCTGGAGGTGGTTACAAGCTAGAAGAAAAGATGAGGAAAGTGTGGAGTGATTTGGAGAACAAAACTAAGTGAGCAATCATCTGTTTTGTTACTTTCAGATATTTCTGTCCTCGGAGGCCGCAGATGATGGACACTGAATAAAGTCAGGAATGTGTGAGTATTATCCCCTCGGCTGCTCCGGAGCCGTGCCCTCAGGAGCCGTGTCCATCAGGAGAGTCGAACTAGAACCTCTGTGGATTTCAATACAGCAACAGAAAACTCTACACAACTCCAAATCTGCTCCGTACCGCACTGTGTTTTGTGTATTCGGTGTCGTCTGAAGTAAAAGCATTATCGCTTATGTTTCTGAACGGCTAAAGGTGTAAGAATCGTGAGGTCACACTTTGGATTTTGTGTTTTAGAAATGAGTAATAGAATGTTTAATTCCAACACTCTCCCCTTATGCTCTAAAACATTTACTGTCCCATTTTAAAAGGTGCATAAAAGAAAAATAATGTAAATTGAGTAGTCCTTCACTAAGCCTCTTGGAGTGTGCTGTGTCGTGTGTGGTGTGTGCGTGTGGATTGCAGCCTAAAGCTAATTTGGCATCCGTTGTCGCTCTCGACAAGCACTTACTCATTCACCCTTACTAAAAGCACATGTTTTTTAGTGTAGGGGAAACCGGAGCACCTGGAGGAAATCTACGCAGACACAGGGAAAACTGCAAACTCCACACACAAAAGCCCTGTCTGGAGGTGGAATCACTGCCACCGTGTTGACCAATGTATGTGTGTGTAAGAGGGTCCACGCATGTGTTGTGGTTTGTATGCATGTACGTACAGTAAGTGTTGTGTGTGTGTGTGTTCATGTGTAAGGTGTGTAGCGCATGTGTGCATGTTCTGTAAGTGTGTGTAGTATGCATGTGTATGTAGATGGATATTATAATTGAACCCTGTAGGAGACATGCATGTGTCCATTAGCAGCGAAACACATCCTCCCAAACCAACAAAACAAATAAATAATCATTCTAAAAATTAGCAACAATAGTAATTAATAAAATCCAACAGTCGTTCAGGTCACAGCAGCAGAATGTGGAGCCGCTCGGTTCTGACCATTTTCTCTGCTCTGCTCCAAAGAAAATGCTAAAAGGCTTTGTTAGCATGTTCAAAAATGTTACATTCCTGCAGTGGATTTCCTCCAGATCCCTTGTTACAGACCAATGAACCCTCTCTGCTCTGGTCAGGAACAGTGTAAAACCATAATCCCTCTCTGCTCTGGTCTGGACCAGTGTAAAAACCATGAATCCTCTCTGCTCTGGTCTGGACCAGTGTAAAAAACCATGAATCCTCTCTGCTTCGGGTCTGGACCAGTGTAAAACCAAGACACTGAACTGCAGCAACATCTCAGCAAAAAAAGTAAGAAAACAACAAATGTTTCAGACACTAATAGACGTGCTGCTGTATGTCCAAGTATTTCAAACAATATGAAAAACATATGAGCACGTGTTGAGCGTGCATGTGCGTGTTTTGCCGTGCTGTGTGGGCACTGCGTGTTTGTGTCACGTGCGTGCGTATGTGCGTGCGTCCGAGCGTGTGATGGTTTGGTCAGGAGGGGCATGTGAGCAGACAGGAGCCTGATGAATGGTGCACGGAGGAGGAGGAGATGAAGATGAAGAGGAGGCCGCGGGTCTGTGAATGAAGATGTTTGGATTGACGCCTGCATGAGAGCCACTGCCTTGACGACCGCATTCAGCCACGGCTAAAAAATTGAACTTTCCAGGAAGTGTGAGAGAAAAACAACAGAACTGGCTTTGTGCAAACGCTCTTCAACTAATAAATAAAAACTGTGTTGTGGTATTCACATATCAGACACTTCTAACCACCAAACAGAGAGTTTTTCCTGCCCTATCTCTGCTTTAATCATCGTGATGTGTGTATAGGGATGTACCTCTGTAATTGAGCAAGAGGCAAGTCCCACAAGGAGGTCATTGGGTGCAATCCTGTATTGGCCTTAATGGATATCATGGCACGTCATGCTTATTTCAAAGATCATTTTATCAGCAAAACACAATTGATCGTAGAAATTAGAAGTTACTTTTTCTAACAATGCATCTTCAGATGCTACAATCATTTTTTGATATTTTGTCCCAGATGCAAAATCCAAACCAAAATCTACTAGAAAATAGTAGTATCCACACCCATGATCAAATTGAAATGAATCATTCAAAATAAAAAAACAAAGTAAAAACAAAAATGCCGCTGCGGTCTCCTCTATTGTTCGGACACGGTCTCTATAGTTTTAAAGGCTAGGCTAAAACAGACCTCATTAGTTAGCATAAGTGCTAAATGACAACTTAGAGAAGGCCTAAACATCTCAACAGTCCAGTCAAGCTGCATAGGGATCAGTTTGCTATGGAGAATTATGGTAACGTTGAGCACTATCCTCTCCTCCTTCCTACTTTACCTGTTTAATGCAATAATCAGGAAGTTGACTGATAGTTTGTTCCAGTTGCTATTACACCCGTTGATCCCAATGTCTGTTTCGATGGAACGTGACGGGATCTCTGAGCCTGGCCTCCTCCATCGTACACCTGCGGACCTGCCCCGCCCGACCCGCCTGGGAGTGCTTCAGTCCTCGCACCGGACCTGTCCACGTTCCAGCGGCCCGCTGCGTGGCTGTTCTAACAAGACGGAACTGTGGGAACCAGGACACACACATTCTACAACATGTATGACATTGGATCAGTCCCTATGTCCAATACAATGTGATGTATTTCGGTGTCTTAACTGTTGAATCTCCTTACCCTGTGTTGAGATTTCAGTGCTTTTGTTAAGTCTCAGAGATGATTACTGTTGTGTAAAGGTAACTACAAGAATAAATTATATGATATTGTTATTCAAAAGTAAACAACTTTGATTCCGTTAAGTCCCAACCTGCTCTATAATGTTTTTTAAACTTGCCCAGTGACCAAAATGAGTGTTAAACTCTGTCCTACACACACTGGTAAAAAAGCAAAAAAATATGAGGTGAAAACATGCTTGAAACGAATCGTTCTGGTCCGTAATTTGTCTTAAAACAAGATTCTCCAACGGTACAACAACATGTAATTTTATCTCAAGAACTAATCCTTATTTTGTCATCCAAAGGAGACATTATGAAATCTTTTTAAAACAAGACAATTAGCATTTTGTCCCAATGACAAAATCTTGTTTTAAGCTCAGTCAGAATGTGCTCCAAGTTAAGATCCTTTTGCAAATTTGAGACTTTTTTTTAATTTAATTTTTCATCCCATTTTCCAGTGTATTCAGTATGTTTTATGTATGTACTTGTCCGTGCACACTATGGGTACTTTTACACACGTATTAAAATGTGTTTTATACTGAAAATGGCAAAGAATCTGGGTTCCTGAATCTGTGATCCTCACAGTCTTTTATATAGAGATGACATAGTTAGATAAACCTCGTCATGCTCAGTCAACACGACTTTAGCCGGAATAAATTGTTTTTGTTGTCAATTTGCACCAGGAGCTGTTTTTCCTTCACTCATTCAAATAAAAAAAGCAATTTGAAATGTTCGAGGACTTTTTAGAGACAAACACAGCTGCTCTTAATAAAACGCTTATCCACTTTTTCCCGCTTGCTGATTCACTGAGAGGCGTCTGTAAATGCTCAACAATCTTAAATAATTATGGTTCGAGTCCAGCGTCGTCTTGTTTGCTCGGAAGCTTCAGTCAGTGTTTTTCCAATGGCTCTGCGTTTCATTGTTTTGTGAAAGACCTATTATGAATGAATATAATAAAGGGGTCTTTGGAGGAAGAGGGGGGGGGGGGGCAGGCACAAAATGCACCCCTGTGTGTGAGCTCGGTAATGGTCGGAGCTGCAGCGGGCGACTCATAAAAGCAGCGAAGAAGGCTAAAAAACAAGACGGACGTATTTGGACAGAATGCGCAGAGGTAGTGAAGGGTTGAGGCAATCTGTGTGTGGTGGTGTGTGTGTGATGTTTGTGCTGCAATGTGTGTGTGTGTGTGTGTGTGTGTGTGTGTGTTTGTGTTTGTGTGTGTGTGGTGTGTGTGTGTGAGTGTGTGTGTAGTACGTGTGTAAGTGTTTTAGGCCGATTAAAGAAACTAAATTAATGTTGGTTTTGAACGTTTTGCCTTTCAGTGAGCGGGCCACCTTTAGTTCATCAGACTTGACCGGGGCCCTACCTGGATAAAAAAAAAAATGGATTCGAGCTGGAATTCTGGACTTTAAAATGGGTTTATGAACATCCTTATTTGATTTACTGCTGCATTTTAATTTGAGAATGTTGAACACAATGCGTCAGTAAATTACAGTAATGTCAACAACTGGATTCCAGAGAGTCTTGAGATTACAACAAGATCAATTTACAATACAATACTCAGAGACTTAACAAAACCATTGAAAACACATATCAGAGAATCAACAGTTAAACAAATAAAGTAATATAGAAACACGGGTTGATAAATGTCATCATATGTTGTAGAAATGTTAAAGAGTCCCTCCGCCTCGCAAGGAAAAACTCTTACAAAAAATAACAAGTGGTAAAAAAAGTGAGAACCATCGGGAAGACCCATATTGAGAAAAGCCTGAATGTATTGGGTAGCTGAATTTGGTTTGAATGACACTGGCCAAAGAGCCTAATGGCGACTTTGTGTTGCAGCAGAGCCACGAATAATAACATATAACAAAGCAGACCTGAGTGCCCACATGCAGCCTTAATCACAGTCTACTAACCTGAATATTGCAGAATTTATAATTTTTCAAAATGTGTTGTGGCCCGGATGTCTTGGCGAGACTTCGACATTAGCAAAACACATTATCTCTTCCACAAGCACATAGGTTAACAGTAAATCCCTTTGAATAGCCATCTTTACTGTGATATCTACTCTCCACATTTGTTGTTGGCTTCCATAATCGCTCTCATAAAACGCTACAGACTCTCTGCATCCCCTC